GCGGGGCGGTCCCTGTCGGCCGGCCCCTGGCCCCGGCGCTTGTCGGGCTTGGGGTCCCCGGACGGGGTGTGGGTGAAGGACTGGGACCGCTTCTTGCGGGGTGTGTCTTCGTCGAAGAACTCGATGACGAAGGCCTGCTGGTTGTGCAGCAGCTCCTGGGGATCCCGCTTGATCTGCCTCTGCAGCCGCGCCTGCTCCCCGCTGTCCACGGGGACCCCGGCTGCCGCGGCTGCCTTGGCCAGGGGGTCCTCGGAGTCGCTCTGCGTGCCATCCTCGTGCTTGTGGCCTAGGAGCAGGGAGAGCCCGACCCATCAGGCCAGTGGGAAGGAAACAGCCCTGCGGGGGGCCCCTCCCGAGGGGCGTGGGCACAGCGCCCTCACCCCCAGCGGACGTCACCAGGACAGGCGCCAGGAACGCACTAGTCACCCAGAGGGTCTGGAGCAGTTTACTGAAAGCCTGGGACGGAGCGAAGGGCGAGGCCCTGTGGGGGGCGAGGCCCTGTGGGGGGCGAGCAGACGCAGGCCCGGGCACTCACCCTTCAGGGTGCGCGTGTGGACGGGCAGGTCGCTCTTGGTGCTGTGGCGGTCGTCCCCAGGACCAGCCTGGCGCAGCAGGCCGGGGTCATTCTGCACCAGCCAGTCGGCCACCTTGGTCTCCGCGGAGACCACCTCGACGGGCGTGGGCTCCCTGCCCGGGGGCCGCCGCTGGCGCAGGGAGAACTTGGTGACATGGTCCTTGATCTTCACCTTGCCAGGGCTGCAGTCGTCGAACTCGATGGTGAAGGAGGCGTGGCTCTGCACCACGGGCGACGCCCCGCCCCCGCCCCCGCCCAGCGCCACCTCCTTGGTGGGTGCCTCAGGGGCCGGCGCCTCGGGGGGCCGTGGCGCTGGCGACTCCTTCGTGGGGATCTCAAAGTAGCTGGGCTCCCGCCGGAATGAGTAGCCCTGAGACTCCCCAGGGGCCCGGAAGCCGGCCATAGTCCCAGCGAGGTCCCCGTCCTGCTGTGCCAGCTCCTTGGGCCGCTCTGGGGAGGGGGGGGGACACGTCCTCAGGCAGGACCGAGGGGTGGCAGTCTCACCCACCCACCTCTGCCGGGACCATCGGCTGTCTCCCCCAGAGAAGGCAGCTCCAGGCCAGGCCACCCTCCCAAGTTCTGGGGGTCCTGCGGGCCGGCCTTGGGACCTACCTGGGTGTGGCCCCTCCTGAGGCCGGTCCTCAGGCACGGTGCCACCATCGTCCTCACCCCACCAGGAGGGCTGTCCGTACAGGGGCGTGCGGTAGGCTGTCGTCTCTGCAGAGGGACAGTTCAACCCTGGGTCGCCATGGCCCCCATATACTAGAGGGGAGTCTTGGGGCTGGGGAGGATGGGGTCTGGAGGGGGCCCTGGCATCACTTCCCAGCCAGGACCTGCAGCCACCTCAGACCGTGGCCAGAGCTGACTGTCATGAGCCCTGTTTCCACCCTGACTGCAGTGACACAGCCGAATCCATGGCCACGGGCCTCCCTCCTCCCCCTGGCCTCCCTGTCGGGTGCTCTTCCAGAAGAGGCTTATGTCTAGAGCAGCGCCGTCCTCAGCACCGCAGTCTGGGGCGGGCGCTCCCTTTCGCTCTGTCCCAGGACCCGGCTGATGGAGGGTCAAGAGGCCAGCGATGAGCCCACACCCAGGGCTCGCCTCTCTCTGAGCCTCCGCAAAGGGTCCAGGCCAGAAATAGGCGGCCCTGGAGGCTGAGTGCCACCACCGTGTGCCTGGACTACGCACGGAGCACGGGTGCTGGTGTGCACGGGTGTGGGTGTCCGAAGGGTACACTGCCCCGACCGAGGCAAATCGAGGGGGGCCTGTGGGGAGACGTGCGGGCCAGGTCCCCGCCACGCCGCCATCGTACCTGCCCCTGGTCTCCGGTCCCCCCGCTCCAGCCGGGGGTTCGAAGACTCGCAGTAAGGCGCATGCTCGGGCAGCGTCTCGCCCCTCTTGGGCGCTGGGCCTGTGACGCCCACCTGCAGCTGGCTGGTGTACTTCTCGTGCTGTGGGCGGCAAGCAAGGTGAGGGCCGGGCAGCCGCCGTGGGGGACACCCCCACCCAGAGCAGGCAGCCCCCGGTGCACACAGCTTGGTCCACGCACAAGCCTGGGGGTTCTCAGGACCACAGAGCTTCCAGAAGCGGGTGGGGTCTCTGCGGCAAGGATGGGGGTGTGGGCAGCAGTTATCAGAGGGGAGGATGCCACCCCAGGCCCCAGGACACATGGTCAGCCAGCCACTCGGGGGCTGGGGGTTGGGAGCCTGCCACAGATTGCGCATTCACATGTGGACGTGCACACACGTGTGTGCATGTGCGTGTGCGTGTGCATGCGGGGCCCCACCTAGCTGAGCTTTGCATCATCAGAGCTGGGCTCATACTGGCCCGGTGACTGCACAGGCCACATGTGCTCCCTGTGCTGCCCCAAGTTCATTTGGAAAATGGGCTGAAGCCAGAACCCCTCCCCTCAACCCAGGGCTCCTGGGTACAGCTCTGGACAGGGTCCCCCAAGTCCATGCTCTGTGATGGCCCACCTGCCGTGACCCCCCTCAGGACCCTCAAGCACGACTTCCAGCTTCAAACACCCCCTCCCACCTGCTCCTGGCCACCTCCACCCATGGTGGCCTGATCAGGACCTACCCAAGAAGCTGGTGACCCTATCAGCCGCCCCACCGCCTCCCCGGGGCTCTAGCCACGCCCACCAGCCACGCCCACTACGGTGGCTGCACCAGCCTCAGTGAAGTGCCCGTCTCCCACCTTGCCAGACTGGGTGATCCGGCAGGGCAGGGCAGGCCAGGCCCGACTGACTCGGCACTACAGCCAGGCCAGGGGGTGTTGGGCAGGAAGGAACGGGCAGTGGGGAGTGGGGGGCTGTGAGAACATGGGGCCCTCACGGCAGCGGCCCCTGGGCGAGCGCGAACACGGACCCTGAGCGCCTCCTCGGGGACGCGATGCTGCACACGCTCCAGCACGTACATGTTGGGATGTGGCGGCGAGTCAAGGAGAACAGGGGGCAGCAGGGGTGGACAGCAGCCTCGGCCCGGAGAGAAAGGACCGCACCCAGGAGGGGCAGATCAAGGAGGGCTCCTGGGGGGCTGTGCTGCCCCCAGTGTGGACACCTGCAGCACCCCCACCCCACCCCACCCCCCGGTGCACCAGGCATGTGCTGACAGTTCAGGGTCAGACACTGGGGGGGGCGGTGGAAAGCAGAGGCCACTTCAGGTCACAGCACGTACATGCCCGAAGGCCGAGGGCATACCCTCCTCCCCCACTCAGCCCATGGGCCAGGGCCCCAGGAGGATCCCACGCAGCCAGCTCTGGGCTCCCGGCCGCCCAGTGTTCCACGGTGGGGAGGGCCTCAGCCAGTGGCTGGGTCCGCACCCCCCAATATGCCGATGCGAGTGCAGGCCGAGGTGGGCAGAGGACAGGACGTGCTCCCGCCGTGCGAGCGGCCCTGGCTGCCCAGGGTGGATCTACGGCCCTGTCCGCCGTGTCCTGGGCCCAGCACAGCAGGCCCGCAGCCCCCGGATCACAGGGCAGGGCACTGTGCGTCCAGGGCAGAACTCGCGCGTTCCTGCGCCCGCGAGCTCGGGCCGGTGGGGGGCTGAGGGTGCCCAGGACCAGGGCTTGGGCGTGGGCGGCAGGGGATCGAGTTCAGGCCGGAGCTGGACCCTGGGTTTATCCTCCCACCCTCAGCCCTAGCTGTGACCGCCCAGGCGCCCGCCCGCTCCCAGGGTAACGGGGCGACCGCGGCCCCGGACACCGAGGGGCGGCCCGGGGCGGGCGCGCGGGTGGAAGGATATCGTAGCCGAAGCGCAGGACGTCGTTGAGCCTCAGCGTGACGTACTTCTGGTCGGGGACGCGCACCTCGTTCACGAACGTCTGTGGGCCAGACGGCGCGGGCTGAGCAGGCCACCCCCGGGGACAGCTGCGGGCTCTGCAGCCCGGGTCCTGGCCTGGGCCGGTGTCACACCGGCAGGCGCTGGCCCAGCTCCGTGGGCACTACAGGCCTCAGAGGACGCTGCCCCTGGGGGTGGAGGAGCAGCGACAGGCCAGCAGGGACCCTGTCCAAGCCCCCGGGGCACAGGGGAAGCGGCCTCCCTCGCGGCCTTCCTGCTACACCTGCCGCGGGGGGCGGGGGGCACGAGGAGGGACTCCGGGCGCAGACCCCTGCTGGGAGCGCCCTGAGGGGCACCGATGGGCGGCACAGTGCGACCCCAGCTCGGGAGGGACGGCCCAGCCCTCCTTGGCTCCAGCAAAAGGAGGTGGAGGCAATGGCTCTGCTTTCTTATTGAAACAGCAAGCGTCCCCGGGAAGGCTCCTGTCCACCAAACAGAAACAAGACACCCAAACGGACACCGCCGGGACAGGTAGACAGGGCACAGACGGCCGGCCGGCCCTGGAGAGGGCATCCCGCCCACCTTCCTGCCCCGTCTGCGCTGCAAACACAGGCTCCTCTCGCCTGACCCCTCCCGTGCTCCCCCGTCAGGGCCGTCCCCAGTCACCTCCCTGTCCCCGCGCCCCGCTCACAAAGGAGGTCACATGCCCCAGCACAGCCACTCCCTCGCAGGAGCCCCACTTCCCGGCCTCCCCAGCCCACCAGAGCGGCCTGTCCCCGGCCTCCCACCAGGCAGCAGCCCCACCCCTTGAGGCGGAGGCGGCCGGGCACTCACCCCATTCAAGCTGCCCAGGTCCTTCACCCAGTGCTCGTCCCTGTCCTGGTCGTAATTGATGACGGCGTGCTGCTTGTCAACGCTGCGGGACTGGGGGACACAGAGGACTCAGGTGGCCCCCAGCTAGGCAAAACCCAGGAGGCAGAGGCACCCCCTGCAGGAGGCCCCAACCTCCCACCACAGCTCCCGCGCCCGCGGGTGACCCTCGGAGTGGAGCGCGTGTGCGGGGAAAGCCCGCCAGGCTGGACCCAGCCAGCAGGCTGCGGATTTGCCTACATGCCCCGTCTGGCTCCTCCCACACCATCCGGCTCCGCCCACCCCATCCGCCTCCGCCCACCCCACCCGGCTCCGCCCACCCCGCTGCGGCCATCCTGGCCCCTCCCTTTGTGGCCGGCCCTCCAGAGCACCCTCCCATCCTGGGGGCTGCTCCTGGGTCAGCCGTGGGGGCTAGGAATGCGCTGGCCATCTGGGACAGATGCTCACTCCCTGGGCCAGGCGGGAAGCGTGAAGGGCCCGGGGTGCAGGGAGAGCCCCCCAACTCCTGGCCAGCCTGCCAGCCCCACGGGGGCTCACACAACCTCTCCCAGTGATGGGCACAGGCACACACGCCTGGACGACACGCTCCACACCGCCCTGTCCCACGCACATGCACACACACAGGTACGTCCACCCCGAGCCAGGCTACCCCGGACACCCTCCCAGAGAACAGTCGCCCAGCTCCCTCATAGGGTCAAGCTGAGGGCCACTGCCAAGCCCTTCCACCCCTCCACCACCATGGCTTGGGACAGAGGCAGGCACGGGTCCAGGCTCACAGCCTACTTGCTTAGGCACCGCCAGCACAGCTGCCTCACTGGCCAAGGGGTCTCAGCACAGAACTGTCCACCCCACGCCCACGCCACTGCTGCAGGCCCTGGGTATGTCTGGAGGAGCCACGGGCCTGAGGCCCAGCCCCAGGAGAGGCCAGCAGAACCAGCCAACCCAGGCTGCTCTCCAGCCCTGGCCCTGATGACAGTATGTGCCCCACAGGACGACCACACCCGCCTCCTGAGCACAGATGTGGGCGTGATGGGGCCATACAGTTACTACCTGCCCCCTGGGACAGGAAGCCCCACAACCTCGCAACAAGAGGGTGGCCCAGGACCCGAGCCCCGCGTCACACCACCAGCAGCTTCGCAGTTCTCACAGGTGAGTGCCAGACGCCACTCTGCGGCAGGTGGCTACCACCATAGAGCCCTTTCTCCCGATACCCTCCACCTGCCCAGCACCTCGGGCACTGCCCTGAAGTGGCTGGTTTCCAGGGGAGGCCCCAGCATGGCGGGGTGTGGCAGGGGTGGACATGGTCTCTGGCCCCGCCTTGGCCCCCCAAGGTCGCTCAGCTTGGGAAGGGCACCGGGGCAGGCCCTGGAGAGGGGATGGACTCATGGGGGCCGTGGCCCTCGGCCTGAGCACCGGCCTCCACACTCCAGCCTCTTCTGGGTCCAGAGGCCCCAAGGTGGTCGGCTTGACCCACAACGATGCTGCTACAGCGGGGGACCTGGGCAGTAGAACAGGCCCACACCTCATCCTGCCCCAGACCCTCCGTCCCAGAAGGCAGCATTTGGAGGGCAGAAGACAGTCTGTGGGGCCAGCCAGGCCCTTCCCGACTCAGGCTACCGCTGAGTCACATCCCCGGCACCGTCCACCCGAGCCCAGGGAAGCGCCGGTCAGCGGCTCGGCCTGCCCCAGGCGTCCTCCCTAGGAAGCCCTCAGACTGATCCCGGGGGACTCCTGGTGACGACTTGCCTGCCTCCCAAAGCATCGCTGGCAAGATCTCAAGGTCTCAAGACTTTGAGACTTATCGCACCCCAGGCCTCACCTGCGCTCATCCTGACGTTGGCACGCGTGGCTAGTGGCTCTCGGCTGCCCCAGAAGTCAAGCACCCCGTCCTCTGTCAGACTCCCCGCCTGTCCCCATGCAGGCTGGCCGGTGCTCCCCTCCCGCCGAAGCTGGCCATGGTGAGCCTCCCCGCAGCCCTGCCCACTGGCCTGGCCTGGGGACTCTCCTAGGCCTAGGGGGTGGTGGACAAGAATCAGCATCGCTCCGGGGTGCCCCGCCTCAGGCCCGGTACCTGCTCCTCTCGGCAGCCTGGGGGTCAGGCACACACAGTTCCTGACCGTCCAGCCTGGTGACTGGGGGCGGGGGCTCGCTGATGGACTATGGGGTCCCCCACTTGCACCCGTCCCATGCACCGCCCGGGGCTCGGGAACAGGCTGGCGGCCTGCCTCAGCCCTGTCCAGTGCAGATGCCACTGGGCCCGAGGGACGCGCAGTCTCAGGAAAGCAGCCAGGCAATAGACCCCCTGTGGCTGCAGCCTGGGGCACATCATGGGCTGCTCGGGGTCCCACGCCAGGATGCTCGAGGCGTGCAGTGGGGGGCAGCAGCAAATGCACCAGCCCCCAAGGAGCGAGACCTGGAGGGGCTTCTAGGCTGAACTTTCCAGCCAGAACGAGCTCACCCCTTCCCGAAGCCTGGACACACGGACGGAGGCAGCTGGAACCCCGCCCAGCCGCCCCGCCTGCCTGGCCCTCTGGCCTCCCCTGGGTGCCACCAACCGAGCTGCCAGCCACTCCAGCCCCGGCACCAGTGCCCACTGGTCTTCCTTCTCAGCAGCTCAGACCGTCCA